TTGCATTTTCAGGTTGTCTGGTTAGTTGGTTATCACACTTCTAATAGAACAACTCTAATTAATGACTGAAACACCAAAGCCATTGTAAATAAGAACTGAAAGATTGGAGAGAGGAAAATGTATTTAAGCATTGCCTTATTTGGGAAATGTGACAGTCAAGCTATAATGTTAATGTTCACATAAATGGGGCACCTGGGTGGCTCAGATGGTTGAGCATCTGCCTTCGGCTTGGGTCGTGATCCCAGGGTCCTGGGATCGAGTCCCACATTGGGCTCTCTGCTAGACGGGGAGCCTGCTTCTCCCTCTCCCTCTGCCTCTCTCTCTCTGACTCTCATGAATAAATAAATAAAACATTTTATAAAAAAAGTTAATGCTTGAAGAAACTTTAATTAGGGATGATAAAGAGGAAACTATTATAAAGATTCTGAAGGGGATTTAAAATAACTGCCCATGGTTGGAGAGAAAAGTTAAAGAAATGATCTAAAGTGGAACAACTTGAACTTCAAGCTGTGAAAGGAAAAACATATGTATGACTCCCAAAAGAGAAGAAAGGGGATGGCTGAAGGGCTGGCTGGCACTGAAGTGATTAGGGAGTAGGGGGGCATGGGGGTGTAAAATTCTTAACTCTTGGTTGGTTCCTACTCTTTAAAGCCTTTAATGCTGAATTAATACCAATGGTGCTAATGGAAAGCTAAAAGTGTTTAAATTTCTCCTTAAAAGATGTAGTTCCACTTTCCATGGTAGACATAATTCATATACAAACCATAACCTTTTAGTCAGAATAAAGGGTGAAAAAAGTATGGTCCACAACACCTCTTAAAGAGTTATATTTGACTACTAACAGGTAGGTTAGACATTGGTATAAAGTGCTCTTCATATGAGATATTTTAGAACAAAAATTTTTCATCCATCATGTTTTGTTTTTATTAAAAAAAAAACCCTCATCTAGATTATATGGTAAGAGGAGGGAATTACAAAGTATAAAACAATACCAAAAATGGTTTGACTTCATATATACATTAAAAATTGTAAGGAATATCTTAACAAAACTAGAACATTAGTATTTTTAATTCAGCTACATTTAATATTTTTAAGGCCAAAATTTGAAGGTTTACTGACAATGATGAATATCAATGTTTTCCTGTAAGGTTCTTATAAAATCATAAAAATATTTCACAATGTGTTAAAGGAAACTTAATTTCTTCTTTTTATTTTTTTTTTAAAGATTTTATTTATTTATTTGAGAGAGAGAATGAGATAGAGAGAGAGCATGAGAGGGGAAAGGGTCAGAGGGAGAAGCAGACTCCCTGCTGAGCAGGGAGCCCGATGTGGGACTCGATCCCGGGACTCCAGGATCATGACCTGAGCCGAAGGCAGTCGCTTAACCAACTGAGCCACCCAGGCGCCCACCATACATTAGTTTTTGATGTAGTGTTCCATGATTCATTGTCTGCATATAACACCCAGTGCTCCATGCAGTGTGTGCCCTCTTTAATACCCATCACAAGGCTAACCCATCCCCCCACCCCCTCCCCTCTAGAACCCTCAGTTTGTTTCTCAGAGTCCATAGTCTCTCATAGTTCATCTCCCCCTCCGATTTACCCCCTTCATTTTAACCTTCCTACTATTTTTTTTTTTAACATATAATGTATTATTTGTTTCAGAGGCACAGGTCTGTGATTCAACAGTCTTACGCAATTCACAGCACTTACCATAGCACATACCCTCCCCAATGTCTATCACCTGGGTGATATAAACATCTTTTTAAAGGCATACAAGACATAAATTTTCCAGAGGGCCTAAACTGACCCTTATAAACCAATGCCAGAGTTCATGATACGATCCTAAATACCCTATTCATCAAGGGAGGGATTTAGATGCTAAGGTGCATAATCATCATTTAATACTTGAGAATGTTTCTAGTCAAAGAGAGGTTAAGTTCTGACTCCAAAACCCAGGTCTCACTGAACCACTGGTCCTTAAACTCTTGCAAGTCATGAACTTATCTGAAAATCTACCGGGTCTAGACCTAAAGTTTTGGTTCCATGATGCCAAGTTAACATTTCTGCACCAGACCATACTAAGTACCGTGTATTTTTTTTTCTAAGTAAACTCTACCCTCTACCCTCAATGTGGGACTCAAACTCACCATCCCAAGATCAAGAGTCATTCTCTACCAACTGAGCCACTCAAGTGCCCCTAAGTAGCATATATTTATCTACATACAAATACTCCAGATATTCTACCACCTGTCTGGAAAACAAATTTTAATGTTTAATTCTAAGAAATTACAATTTCAATATAGTTTAGAGGAATCGTAGAAGTATTTCTAAATACTTCTTCAAATTTTTACTAATTTTGCCTCTTGGAGTGAGATGAGAATAAAGGTAGACATTCTTATTTGTAATGTAACAGCTGTACCTCAAGTAAACACTACAAATAATATGTAAAGTCCTGAAATTAGTTTTTTTTTTTTTTTTAAGATTTACTTATTTGAGACAGAGAGAGTGTGAGCACAAGTGGGGAGGAGGATCAGAGGGAGAGGGAGAAACAGACTCCCTACTGAGCACAGAGCCTGACTCAGGACTTGATCTCAGAACCCTGAGATCCTGACTTGAGCCGTAATCAGACACATAACTGAACCACCAGGTGCCCCGAAATTAGTTCTTTTTATTTAAAAATAAGTTTTAGCCCAGTGCAAGATTAAATCCTAGGCTTCAAATAAAAAATTTGGTATATTCCACTGTTTACAACTCCAAGTATCAGCTGCTATACAGAAATTACTTTTTTAAAGATATTTGAGAGCAAGAAGAGAACACAAGCGAGGGGATGGGGTGGTAGGGGGAGAGGCAGAGGGAGAAAAGGACTCCTCCCTGAGCAGGGAGCCCGACATGGGGCTTGATCCCAGGACCCTGGGATCATGACCCGAGCTGAAGGCAGAGGCTTAACTGACTGAGCCACCCAGGCGCCCCCAGAAATTGTGTATTATTCATGGGGAGAAAGAAAACAAATAGTTGTACTGGCCATTTTTATTTTCTTTGACATTAACTTATCCTCTGATCCTGAACAAATGTGGACAGGTAGTTCTCCTACACTAAACTTGAGAAGCACCTGAGTAAATATATTGTCTTTAAAGGAAATGATCACAGATGTGTAAAACATTTGCTTTATTTATTAACAATATTATCCTAAGTATCCTCTCCTAAATGGTCCAAGAAACAATTCTATAACAAAAGTGAATCCTAGAAGAGATATACCCAGAAGACAATTTCTCAAGGAACCAGCACAATTGTCAGTTTCCACTTAGTCACAGAACCCATTTACACTGAAAGCTTATAATCATTTATTTTCCTAATTCTATTTTCTCCTTTCCCTCTAAACATTATCTTAGTTTAGCATATATCTGTCAAAGATTTCTCTTCCAAAAAGCGTTAACAGTCAGGGAGGGGCAGTCTGGAGCCCAGCCACTGTCCACTCCCAAGTCTAATAGTGTGTGACCTAGTGGTTATCACTGAACCTCTCTGCATCTCACTTTCCTTATCTGCAGTGGTGTTTATCTCATACAGCTTTTGTGATGATGAGTGAATAATGTAAATCTTATAGAGCAGTGCCAAGTAAATGCTCACAAAAGTCTGAACTATTATTATTCCAGTTTTTCCATCAAATCAAATAGTATCCTCCTAAGCAGCCTAAAGATTACAATGGAAAACCAAATCAGAGGTAAATCAAAGGATAAGCATCTTCAGAAATACCACTGTATTGACTTTTTACTAAGATATAATCAAATGCAAAGTATAGACACAATAATCAATTCCTACTTAGTATTTCAAATTACTGCATGTATGTGTGGATAAACCCAAACATTTAGAAAATATGAAACATCACTATTAATATTTGTTCTTTCTTTGGACTATCCTTTAGATTTTCAACAGTGCCACATAATTTTATGACTAAATTTTATTACAGCTGAACACTTCAAAGATTTTGCTATTATGATTAAAGAAAGAAAATGTATTCAGAAAGTACTGTACAGTTTATGTGTGAATTTATGGTACTTGTCCAAATATTACCAGCATATAAATTATTTTGTAAAGTTATTTCTTACATAGGGTCAAAAATGCAAAGTGGAATTTGTATTAAAAGAAAAAATAGAAGCAACACTGGCTCCTATATGCCAAAAATATAAGACAGATTTTTTTTCTTAAGCACTCTAGTTACAAATATTAACTATATGGGCTGAGAACTTTTAATTTTCAATATACGTCAACAAAGTACACAAGTAGAACTCTATAAATATATCCCCTATAATAATCATATGCAAAACCATTTTATCACAAATACTACCAAAACCCTCTGAAAAACGTAAACTACAAACACATTTTTAAAGAAATTGTTTTAACTACTACAAAAGCAATATCAATAAAGTTATTTGGTTTATAAAAATGAAGGGCAGTGTAAAGTAAATCTGAATACCACAAAGCTTATTGAGGATGCAGTCTTGAATTCCTTAATACAAGATACTAAACACCTTAAAAAATAATAGGACTTATTCTGTACAATTTAAAGTCTTGAGCTGAACTCCAAAAAGAAAAAATTAAGTAGTAGATGAAAAGTAGGTATGTAGAAATAATGTTATAAAATATGGTTTTTATACAAAATGTACCACTCTTCAAATGTATAAGGCTTAATATGAGTATTTTTGGATTATGAGTGTGCACATGATTTTTAGAGTAGTCTCCATTCAAAACTCAGTATTTTTAAAACGTTTTGATACTTCTGAAGTAAATGAACATGGTACAGGATGCAACTTAATGTCAACTTATTTATACTGTTCTACACAGTAAAAAAACAAGCTTTTTGAGCTCAGGAGAGAATGTATCTTTTGAATGCTTGATCTCTATATAAATCCTACTTTTAGGAATGTCAGAATTTTGTAATATGAACTAATATCCACTAGGAACTGGCCCAAGTTTAAACAGAAGATACAAGAGAGACATATGTCGTCAAGCAGTTTAAGTCTGCCCTATGTAATTATACAGTCATACTTTTTACATGAAAGTAAAAGTGCTTTAAAGTAAAAAATATTTTTGTAAAAGGTATCATTAATATTACTAATACTTCATATCCAAGTAGAATTTTCTACATTAGTTCCATTTTACCCATTTCCTTTGAGAAGTATCCTTCTGCCACAATGTAAACAAAAAACGGTCCATAAAATGGTGACAGATCAGACACATCATAATTTGTGGTATGGGCCCTTTAAATTGAGACTAAGTCTTATTTAACCCAGAACTAGAGAGATTTTATTTGTTGCACATGCCCAAAGTAACTCACATTTTCTATAAGCCTTGAAGAATTTTTATTTAACATAATGAGAGGTTTAATAACACATTCAAGACTATGTAGCGCTCTTCTGTGGCTGTTCACCAGCTGTTTTTATGACGGTAACTCCGAGATCTGGAATGTGATCGAAAATGAGTGTGTTTTGCTGTTTGTGCTTTAGCTTCAGAATTGGTATACCCCTTGGGAGATTTACAAGGGGATCTTGCTATGGAGTCAGAATGTCTTCCATGTGATCTTGATTTTGTTCCTGAGCTAGTCTGCTTTTGAGGTGAACTTGATTGTGATTTTCCTATTGACTTAGACCTTTTTGGTAAGGACTTGGACCTTGACCGTCCTCTAGAACCAGAATTCCTTCTTGGAGTTCTTGACTGCCTTGCTGAGGTAGACCGCCGTGGTAGTGATTTGGAGCGAGATTTAGATTGGCTGTAAGAAAATCGCCTGTGTCGAGACCTGCAAACATTCCTTATGTTAAGAGTATATATTTTACACAAAAACATTTAATGAAAGGTTAGGAAACAGCAATTTCAGGAATTTATACACTATATATATTATGTTTTTCCTGGATAAACCAAAAGAAACAATTTTGATTTTATTTTGCATACTTTTAGTTCAAACATAAGTAACAAGTTTGTAATATTTGTTATACTAGAATCTATGACCAAAAGATTTCTGCTTTGCTAGATTTATCTTATGATATGGGTCAGTTCTGAAAAATGCCCTGCATGTTTAATCTGGGTTATACAACTCCCAAGAGGTATGAAAATTTGAAGGAAAAAAAAGATAAAAAAGAGAAAGTAATTATTTAAAGTTTGTCAAATAATGCTTATAAAAACAAACACAAAACCTAGATGCAGGACTTTTGAATCTTGCCATGATAGAACGTGTATTAGACTAATCTTCCCACAGAAAACATACACACACACACACACGAGCTAAATAACATTATAAAACAACTATTTAAATGCACTGGAGAATAACCAACCCTAGTAGAACTTGAGGGGTTACAAGCCATGGCTCTTTTAACTAAGACCATTTTCCAAATGCTGGCAGGGGGAAACTGAACCCAACCAGAAAATGGCCACTTGATTAAGCTGAAGAGGCAAGTTAGGATTCAGATTTACCAAAATGGTTGGGACTAAAGAGGCAAAATCTCAGAATGGCAGACAAAAAAAAACTCCTAAAATTTGCCTATAAATTCTCTTCAAGTCACTGGCCATCTTTTAAACTGTGCACGTACAGGATGAGACTCCAAGAAGTCAACAAATACAGCAGTTGGGAGTATTCAAGAATTAAGCTGAAATTCTATCAGACACACAGTGCTGGGGAGAGAGGCTGGAGTTCAAGCCCCTAAAAGGTCAAGGAACCTTGAGTAACAACCCATGCTTTCAATTAAGAACCCATAAGGGCCATATCCTACAGGTAAGGACCACCCCCTGAGAGTAAATATAAAGCTAAAATAAATCAACCTTAACAATGCCTCAAACCAAGCCTTGACAGATCAAGGTGATTTGCCAATACTCCACCTGCTAGAAGAAAACAATTTTCTTTGGAGGTTATCATCCAAAGTGTTGTAAGTTTTCATCAACAATGTCCAACATTCAATAAAGAAATTATGAGGTATGTGAAAAATAGATAAAAATTACTAAAAGCTAAGGAAATAAAAGAAAAAAAAACCGACCCAAAGTAATATGGGTATTGGCATTATTCAGACAGGAATTTTAAAAAATTACTATGACTTGTATGTTCAAGTAGGAAGAAAAGACAGGCAAAACAGATTTAAAGATAGAAAGTTCAAGAGAATATTGCAATCTATAGACAGAAGCAAATGGACATTTTACAACTGAAAATATATTTCTGAAATTTAGGTCATTAGATCAATTTAACAGCAGTCTAGATACAGCAGAAGAAAAAGTGAACTGAACTGTAAAACAGATTATTAGAAAAACATATCTACTGAAACACAAGGAAAGAAAAGGAATTTTAAGAAATCCATAACAGAGCATAAGAGATATGCAGTACACAGTCACACAGTCAGAAAGAAAAACTGAATGAGGCAGAAGCAATATTTAAAGAGATAATGACCTAGAATTTCCCCAAATTAATGAAAGGTATCAACTTGCAATTTCAAGCAGTTCAGTAAACCCTGGAGAATAAGACACATTACCTTTATTTATCTATTTATTTTACAGCTGTGTTAAAACAAGGCCTCGAAAAATTGGTTTAAGACCCAGAGTTGTTCGTCTCCATGGAAATCTTTCAGTAAAAGGTGAAAGATTTATATGATTTGAAGAGAAACCAGAGTATAAGACACATTACCTTCAAAGAAGCAACATTAAGACTGACAGCTGACTATAATTCTCAATAAACAATAGAATAATATTATTTTTAAAAGTGGGGAAAAAGTGGTGCCTGGCTGGCTCAGTCAGTAGAGCATACAACTCTTGATCTCAGCGTCATGAGTTCAAGCCCCATATTGGGTGTAGAGATTGCTTACATATGTACCTACGTAAATACAAAAAAAGTCCCTGCCAACACAGAATTCTATCCCCAGCAAAAAAATCCTTCAGAAGTGAATATAAAATGAAGATTTTTTTCAGATAAACAAAAGCTGAAAGAATTCATTGCCAGCAGACCTGTACTGTAAGAAATACTAAAAATTTTTTAGGCTAAAAGAATCTCAGAAGTGTGGAATTATAGGAAGGAATAAAGAACACTGGACAGTATAAATATATTCTGGAATAAGAGCACAGGCTTTTAGAAATTATTAAATTTCAGGGCACCTGGGTGGCTCAGTCGTTTAAGCATCTGACTCTTGATTTCGGCTCAGGTCAGGATCTCAGGGTGGTAAGACTGAGCCCCACATCGGGCTCCATAATGAATGTGGAGCCCGCTTAAGATTCTCTCCCTCTGCTCCTCCCCACCTTCTCTCTCCCTCTCTTAAAGAAAAAAAGAAAGAAATTATTAAATTTCATTCCTGTTGTAGAAAGCCAAATGGGAAAATTATCCTTCAGAAAAAAATCTAACATAGAAAAAGAAAAGAGGGCGGAGATGCTGTATTTGGGCTAAAGGCAGCTGAGGAGCAATTTTTCAGGAATATATATATACATTCATTGAAGTATGAATTCAACAAAAATTTATGGAATAACTAACATAAGCTAGGACTATTGCTAAGTGCTGGGGATATAAGCATGAATAAGACAAAAGTCCTTGCTCCTCAAAGAGCTCATCATAATCCAGTGGATAGCAACACTAGTTTGTTTTTTAATCCATATCCACTAAAAACAAAATAAGAGACCTCTTTTTAGTCTAAGGTAATACCACATATACTGTATTTACTTATCGTTTTGTTAGGCTTATACAAATTCTGCTTCATTTACATATATACACATACACATATGCAGACACAAAATCTGATCCTTATGAATATAACGAGAGCTAGGTAAGATCTGTATTCTTTTTTTTTGAAGATTTTATTTATTTATTTATTTATTTATTTTAAAGATTTTATTTATTTGAGAGAGAGAATGAGATATATATATAGAGAGAGCATGAGGGTCAGAGGGAGAAGCAGACTCCCCGCTGAGCAGGGAGCCCGATGCGGGACTTGATCCCAGGACTCCAGGATCATGACCTGAGCCAAAGGCAGTCGCTTAACCAACTGAGCCACCCAGGCGCCCCAAGATCTGTATTCTTTATAATACAATTTTACAAATGAAAAAACTGAGGTCAGGGAGGTTAAGCAATGATCTTATAATGAGCAGAAAGCAAAACAGTATTACTGTCTTACAAGATGTGGTTCATTATATTCCTGATACTCCAATGGTGATTTGGGACAATTGACAGACATTTTTTGTTTTTCCCCAGCTAAGTGTATTTTTAAGATTTTATTTATTTATTTGACAGAGAGAGACACAGCGAGAGAGAGAACACAAGCAGGGGGAGTGGGAGAGGGAGAAGCAGGCTTCCCAATGAGCAGGGAGCCCGATGTAGGGCTCGACCCTGGGACCATGACCCGAGCCGAAGGCAGATGCTTAACCATCTGAGCCATCCAGGCGCCCCTCCCCAGCTAAGCATATTACTCACAGAAAGAGAATATTAGTGTGAATGCTGTTTTGTCGTTTTTTTTTTTAAGTAAACTCTACACCTAACATGGGACTCGAATTCATGACCCCAAGATCAAGAATGACATGTTCCACCAACTGAGCCAGCCAGGAGCCCCAGTGCTGATCTTTAAGAACATAATTTACTTTTTTTCTTTTTTTAAAAAAGATTTTACTTATTAGAGAGAGAGTGAAAGAGAGAGAGCAGGAGCAGGAGGAGAAGGAGAAGCAGCAGCAGGCTTCCTGCAGAGCAGGGAGCCCAATGTGGGGCTCAATCCCAGGACCCTGGGACCATGAAGTGAGCTCAAGGCAGATACTTAACCGACTGAGCCACCCAGGCGCTGCAAGGACAGAATTTACCTTTAAATTCTACATGTCTATGAAAAAATTATAGCATTAAAACTCAAGGTAAATACAATTACTTAAGAATTTAGGTATGCTAATACAATTTCAGTTATTATTTAAATAGCTTCACCAAGTAATTCCCATTGTGATTTACTATTATTGTAACAGAAACTCCTGGCTAACAAAATAGATAAACCGCAAATATCTTTTTCCGAAAAACTTTTTATTTTCATGTCTTCTTATAATACCATACTTAGAATTTATCTTTGAAAATAACTTACCTTTTATAAATATATTGATTTACATTAATTTTAGGTTCAACCTCCTTTCACAAGTGATTCTATTTCTTATGAGTTTTTAATCATCAGAACTTAAGATTCTTTTTTTTTTTAAAGATTTTATTTATTTATTTATTTATTGACAGAGAGAGAGACACAGTGAGAGAGGGAACACAAGCAAGGGGAGTGGGAGAGGGAGAAGCAGGCTCCCCACGGAGCAGGGAGCCCGATGTGGAGCTCGATCCCAGGACCCTGAGATCATGACCTGAGCCGAAGGCAGACGCTTAATGACTGAGCCACCCAGGTGCCCCAGAACTTAAGATTCTTAATTACTGAGTTCAGTTAGGAAAATTTTATTTATTTAAAATTCCTTGGGGTGCCTGGGTGGCTTAGTCCGTTAAACGTCTGCCTTCGGCTCAGGTCGTGATCCCAGGGTCCTGGGATCCAGCCCCGCATCGGGCTCCCTGCTAGGTGGGGAGTCTGCTTCTCCCTCTCTCTGCCGCTCTACCTGCTTGTGTGCTTGCTCTCTCTCTGTCAAATAAATACGTAAAATCTTTAAAAATAAAATAAAATTCCTCATTTTATTTGTCAAGTACACATTTTAAAATTTGTTTTTTTCTTCAGCCCATATTATTTTTCTATTAAAAAGGTTTAAAGTTAAAATCTGCCATGAATTAAAAACACTGGAAGGTATCCAATAAACCCAAGTTAAGTAACAATACATTTCAAATAGAGAAGAGCATATCTTTTTTTTTTTTTAAGGAGGGGGGGCAGGGAAGAAGGGGAAGTGGGAGAGAGAGAATCTTAAGCACACTCCACACTCAGCATGGAGCTGGATGCATGGAGACGGATGCAGGGCTCGATCTCACAAACCTGAGATCGTGACCTGAGCCAAAATCAAGAGTAAGATGCTTAACTGACTGAGCCACCCAGGCACCCTAAGAGCATATTTTTCTAACAAAAGTTGATCTTTATGTATATTGAATAAGATTATTCTTGTGGCCTGTTTCTGAACACTCTTTAAAATGTCTTCCAGAAAAAGTAGAAAATTAAGTTTTTTTTTTTCTTTTTTTTTTAAAAGATTTTATTTATTTATTTGAGAGAGAGAGAATGAGAGATAGAGAGCACGAGAGGGAAGAGGGTCAGAGGGAGAAGCAGACTCCCCGCCGAGCAGGGAGCCCGATGTGGGACTCGATCCTGGGACTCCAGGATCATGACCTGAGCCGAAGGCAGTCGCTTAACCAACTGAGCCACCCAGGCGCCCGAAAATTAAGTTTTCAATCCTCTTGTATTTTGTACTTACTCTTTAAGGCTATCAGACCGTCTCCTATTTCTTCCCCATGAAGAACTTCTACTTCGAGTTCTCCTTTGGCTGGGGCTTCTTGATCTCCTATGATCACTTGGAGAACAAGGGTGACGTTCTTTTGATTTCATTTGGCCTGGTGCTAGAATATGAAATAATTTATTACCTGAAAACCTCAGTAACAGGTACTTTAGTAGTAGTATTTTCTGAAAGAATTTGAAATAAGAAAAATCTGTCATAGCTAAAACTCATTCTGCTGAATAAATAAGATCTAATGTTTAGTCGCACTTACTTTTTCGATCACCTTGTGCAAACTGTATTTCAATTTGACGGCCACATACCCATTTTCTATTGAGGTTATAAAGAGCATCTTCAGCATCACGAACATCTTCAAATATGACTAGCTGTTAAGGATACTTTGAACGTCAGATATCAAGTAAAAATGTTATTTTTAAAGAATTATTTACACGTGACATGAAATTAATAGGAAAAACAACTCCAAGTATTAAACTTACATCTCCTATATACATATATATATAATCCGAAAGAATTTCACTTTTATTATGAAAACAAATGCCCCCTTATGATTGAGAAGAATCTATCTAAAAGTAAGAACAGAAACAAACGTGTAACTATACTTTTAATATACACATTAGAGTAGCTGCAGTATGCATATATAATGTGAAACAGGTTATGAGGAAAAAGTAAGTCCAACCCTGGCTAGTATTAATAATTAAACTGTACAGGACTCACTCCCTTCTTTCAGGTTTTTCATGGAAAAAAATCAGCATGCAAAATCCTTTATTCTGAAATTACAATTACTCTTTCACTAAAAAGTGTTTTAATTATGACATTTAGGAGAAATTACTTATTACAAACAAAACTGCACAAACACATGTCACCTAAAACATTATACCTTTAAAAATGATATTTACTTCTGAACCTACTACTTTAAAATACTTTTATGTTCTTACTGCTTGGGATATAATTATAAAAAAAACACAAAAGCAATTTGTGAACATCTGGAATTAACATATACTGGTTTGTAATATCCCACTAAACTTCCTTATCTACATAAATTATATACTAAACCTAACTAAAATGGAAATAAACTATATAAAATGACTAAATAGCTATCTTTCAGGAGGTTGTTCACTGGTTAAATTTTTTTTAAATAGAAAACAGAAAAAGCTCAAGAAATGCAATACAAAATGAGACTTTGGCAATTACCTCAATGTCACTTGATCTTGAACCTTGACCTTTACTCTTTAAGGCTTGCAAGATGGACTTTATAAGAGACGAAGAACCAACAAAATCAGACTTGGCTTTGACTCTGGAACTCTGAATAAATGTAGGAAAGCCGAAGTCTCAACCTGGTGTTGGCTTTGTCTTTTGCTTGATAAAGACTTCCCCTCTTCCAGGTCTTTATATCTGTGTCCACCCTCCCTCTTTACTCCTTGATGCTTGAACTTTAGGTGCCTTTTTTCTCGCCTGCTCGGTTTATGCTTGGATTCTAGCTAACAGGTTGGTTCAAACTGGGGGGCGCTTGCCAGCTACTGTGGACTGCTTTAGATTTTCTGAGATAAAGAAATAAACACAATTAGGCAATATTAATCTCATATAACATATGCTCCTAAATACACATGCGTATCTGCACACGTATACAGTACATTCACATGCACACAGTAAAACAAAGGATATTGAACATAAGCAAATCCTCTTGGGCGGCGGGTGTAGAAGTCAAGTGGAATGTAAACGTCTACTATAGGGCCATATCGACCAAACTCACGGCGCAAGTCCTCAGGCCTGAAGTGTTTTAGAAATAAGGCAAAGAAATATGAATATCTGGATTAAAATATTTTGCCTATGGAAATCCAGTTGAAACCTTCAAAAGAAAGTATATTATCTAGACTAGTATTATCTAAAATTGTCGTAAGAATCACCCAGGGATTAGAAAGGAAGAAAAAAGAAAAATCCTCAGGCCTCACTTTTGGCGGTTCTGACTCAAAAGATCTGGATTAGGGGCTGGAAATCTGTATTTTTATAAGCACTCCAGGTGGCTGTTATGCTTAATCAGATTGGGGAAACAATGACCCAGGAAAGTTATTATCCATCTTTGGAAGTTATTTCTATTACACCATATTTCAATTGTCAATAATAAAGAGTTCTATTAACCCTATTTCATTAAGAACACATTCATTTACCTCACTGTAATTTCATGTTTATGTTCATTTTGTTTTCAGATCGCAAGAATTAGATTCTAAAGAAGTCCTAAAATTATTTCTCAGGCTTTAAAGAAAAATGGATGTTTTACTTTTAAACATAAAGCAAAATAACTACTGTATTCTTAAATTTGACAAATATTTTTAAACCTCCTATATATCATAGGGTAGTAAAGAGGGGGTACGAAAGGAATATTTAGCATATTTGTCTTCATGGAGCAACAATCTAACTCAAGAGACAAAATACTTAGCTTTTATAGCTGACAATTATAGTGCATTTATAATCGAGCCACTGCTCACCTTAAGACCGCTTAATTCTCACAACAACCCTATGGTTGTTTACAGATGAGGGCAGAGACAGATGAATTCACCTAAGGTCACCAAGCCAGCAAATGACAGAACTAGAATCAAACTCCCACAACCTGACACTAGTCTATGTTTTTTTTTTTTTTTTTTTAAAGATTTTATTTATTTATTTGACAGAGAGAGAGATAGCGAGAGCAGGAACACAAGCAGGGGGAATGGGAGAGGGAGAAGCAGGCTTCCCACCAAGCAGGGAGCCCGATGCGGGGCTCAATCCCAGGACCCTGGGATCATGACCCGAGCCGAAGGTTGGGTCTATGTTCTTAACCACTATGCCCTACTGCCTCATGGAGATCTTAGAGGTTCAACACCAAGTTATGAGCACAAAACATGGCTCAGAAGAAGTAAGAGTACTTCAAAACATATTGTGCAGAAAGAAGACTCAAAGATGACTGCAAAGCTGCTAGCTTGGGCAAATGGAAGAAACATGGTAGCAGTGACAAAAATTAGACAGCTGGAAAAGAAAAGTTGAAGAGGGAGGCGAGAGAAAAGCCGCATTTGAGGTGATGGTAGAACATCCATAACAGTTCTATAGACAGGGGCACCTGGCTGGCTCAGCAGGCAGAGCATATGACTCTTGATCTCTAGGTTCCAAGTTCAAACCCTACGTTGGGTATAGAGATTACTTAAAAAATAAAATCTTAAAAAAAAAAAAGAGTCCTGTAAACAACTAAAAATTGTGATTATACAAATTAATTTTATTTTCTTCTCCAGACTAGAAGTCAGTGATTAAAGCTAGAGATGTGAGGGACACCTGGGTGGCTCAGTCGGTTAAGCATCTGCCTTCGGGTCAGGTCATGATCTCAGGGTCCTGGGATCGAGTCCTGCATCGGGCTCCTTGCTCAGCTGGGAGCCTGCTTCTTCTTCTGCCTGCCACTCCCCCTGCTTGTGCTCTCTCTGAAAATAATCTTAAAAAAAAATTAAGCTACAGATATGAATTCAACTATGATTAAATGTCCACTATATACAAGGCAGTGCAATTGACATAACATAATTTATATTTTTATTATTTTTATTTAATACTTACTATAAAATATTTAATTGTCCGCATTCCCTGAAACTATTATCTTTAGAGGGTAGTGACAATGTCTTTTTCTTTCATTTATTCATTCAACAAATACTTACTGAGCACCTACTATGGGCAAACTCTAGGGATGTGATGGAGAACAAGGAAAACAATTCCTGCTACCACGGAACATGGGCAAGAGAGTAATGATTCTCAACCATTCCTGAATACTGGAATCATTTGTGAAGGAAATGTTATAGAAAAGGTATTCCAGCTTGATGCATTAACCCTGGACCCAATTAGTCCCTCCCATGGTGGGCCCCCGTTAGGTTTAATTTTTTTAAGGGTTTCACAGGCAATTCTGAGAATCAGTGTTGAGGATCACTTTTAAAATGGCTGTCTTCACCAGTGTACCTAGCGTAGTTGTTTGGCACAAAGTAGGCACTCAAAATAGAGTACCATTTGATATTACTGTTACCCATTTAATAGTCAAGGAGACTGAGAATAAGAGAAATTACCTTGCCCAGAGGTACACAGAGCCAGCAGCAAAGCTAGAATTTAAGTGAATATTTTCTGAGACAATCCCATCAACAAATATGAGTGGCTGATAAGGAAAGGATCCTAGATAGTACAAAAGGAGGCTGGAGCAATGTGTGTCATGGAGGACTGGAATCCCAGAAGCCAAGGATGACAGGAGTCTGAAGGAACCAAACTTCTCAAAAGAGCTGGTTCCCTTTCACTGTCACCACTCCTACACCTGTTAGCTATTGTTTTGTTCTCATTTTTGTATTTTTGGTGTCATCTATTTTGACATTCAGAAAATAGAGCATAAAACAAACACCTATGTACCCACCAACGGCATTTATTGTATCTCAACACTTGTCATCATTTTCAGTAATTGTTTTTTTTAAAATGAGACGTTTACATTTATATTCTTCTACCTTAGAAACAATCATCGGTGTTCATCATTCCTCTGCGTAACTTTGTATTTTTGTTTAACATTTTATTTTTTAAGTAATCTCTATACACAACATGGAGCTTGAACTCACAACCCTAAGATCAAGAGTCACAGGCTCTACTGACCTAGCCAGGCATCCCTCCATAATTCTACTTTTATGCAAATGACTATATCCATACTTAAATGTTTATATATCAAATTTCATATAAATAGTATCAGACAATTTGTATAATTTTGCTCCTTGCCTTCTCCTCCCTTGTGATTTCTCTATGTAGTTCTAGTTCACTCAGTTTAACTGTATTGGTATTATTAATAAACCACAATTTACTCGTCCATCTTTCTGTGGATAAACATCTAAGATGCTGCCTTTTTTTTTTAATTGCAAATTGTGCTGCAGCATACATTATAATACATGTGCTTTGGGGAGCTCTGTGAGATGCCTGGCATGTATCACAATGCAATTGGTGAATTGGAGAGTATGCTTATCTTCAGCTTCACTACACATTCTCCAAAGTGACCAAATCAACTTATACTCAACATTTGCATAAGAATTCCTACCGCTCCACTTCCTCATTAACATTTTTAATTCTTATCCTGATGGATGAAAAGTGAATGGGTATCTTATTGTTGTTTAATTTTAATTTACCTAACAACCAATTAGATACAACATCTTTTCATGTGTATGGGCCAATACTTTCCTGTTAATACCTACCAGCAGTTATTTCTGAGTTAAATAGGATGTGTATATATGTAATTTTTATGAAACTGCCAAACAGTTCTGCAAAGTGGTTGTACCATTTTATACTCCCACCAACAATGTATGAGTTCCAGTTGTGCCGATCTTTGTAAGCACTTGGTGCTTATCAAAAAACTTGTCATTTTTTTTAATTGTAGCCATTCAAGCGGGTATTAAGTAGAATCTCACGATGGTTTTAATTTGCACTTCCCAAATGACAAATGATGTTGAACACTTTTTCATGTGCTACTTTTCCTTGTGAAGTGTCTGCTGGAGTTTTTTGCCCATTTTTTTCAAAGATTTTATTTATTTCAGAGAGAGAGGGAGAGCACAAGCAGGGGGGAGCAGCAGAGAGGGAGAAGCAAGCAGTCTCCCCACCGAGCAGGGAGCCCGATGCGGGGCTCGATCCCAGGACCCTGGGATCGGGACCTGAACCGAAGGCAGATGCTTAACCGAGCCCCCCAGGCGCCCCAATGTATATGTTTTGTAAATATCTTCTCTCATCTGTAGCTTGCCTATTGTACTTTCTTAATGGTATTTTTTTAGTGAACAGAAATTTTAATTTTAGAGAAATCTAATTTATCCGTATTCTTTTTTCTTTTATGGTCATTGCTTTCTTTGTCCATAAGAAATCTTTGCCTATCCCCAGGTCATGAAGATATACTATGTTTTCTTCTAAAAGCTTAATATTGTTATCTTTTCCATTTCAAATGATGATCCAGCTCAAATTATCATGTGAGGTGGAGGCCGTGGTTCATTTTTTCCCCAGTATGAAGAATCCAGTTGTTGCAGCACCATTTGTTGAAAAGATTTTTCCTTCCTCCCCTGGACTGCTTTGGTACCTTTGTCAAAAATCATTTGACTCTGTAAGTGTGGATTATTTATGGATTCTATTCTGTTTTATTGATTTGTCTATACTTAGGCCAATATCACACTGTCTTCATTACTATATATTTTTAGTAAGTCTTATGTCAGGTAGTGTAAGTCTTCCACCTTCAGTGATCTTTTTCTAGATCATTTTGAGTATTCTAGATCCTTTGTATATCAATATATTTTAGAATTAACTTGTCCTTTTCGGCGATGGCCCTTGGTCCCGGCTGCAGCAGGGGTCGCAGGTTGTCTGGGGCAGGTTCTCCTCGGCGCTCCCCCGTGAGGAGGCGGCGCTCACGGCTGCAGCCCTGGGTGCTCTCACCTTCTGTACGGCGACGAAGGCGCTGGCCGTGCGAGCTCAAGAGGCGGCGGCCCGTGCAGCCTGTGTGGACGTGTAAGCAGAGGTGACCAGCGCCAGATAG